AGCCAGGATGGTCTCGATCTCCTGACCTCGTGATCCGCCCGTCTCGGCCTCCCAAAGTGCTGGGATTACAGGCTTGAGCCACCGCGCCCGGCCAGTAAAATAGTTTCTGATTTGCTAGCCTTGTAAACCTAGAGTTACAGTTAATGATTTTCAGTACGTTGGGATAAGGCGATGGAGGTGGGTATAATAAACATTTTTAAGTGCTTTATAAGCTTGCATCATCAGAATTTTGAGTCATTTCAGTTATATTTTATCCACTCAGAGAAAATCGTGGTGTCTGTTCTCTTACAAGATGTTGAAACTGATAGTATGAAATAAAAGGAATAAGGCCTTTGCAATTATTTCATTGTTTGAATCCCAGTTCTGCCCTTTATTGTGTGCTGTTGAGCAAATTATTTTGTATTCCTGAGCCTTTATTTCCCTAAACAAATAGAAATAATCCCTAACTTGCAGGATTGTTATCAGGATTTAGAAATAATGTGTTTAAAGTGCCTGACCCATAAATGGTTAACAAATGGTGTGACTGTTGTTGATGCTGTCAGCATTCTGTCTCTCTAAACATCTAGTTTTCTCCAAGGTAAATGCTGATCTTCATAAATCACATGTTCAAGAATGCCTGCTATGCACAGGTACCACAAATTAGAGCACTTTAAGTTAATTTAAAAAAAAATTTTTTTAGTGTCTTCCACCCATAGTGGGGTCAACTATCAGCTAAGCAGTAGTAGAGACTATATTAGGCCTTGTTGTGTACCAGCGCTCACTTTCAGCAACATTTAAGAATAGAAACTAGGACCTGCGTAAAGTCTGCTCCGAATGACTGCTTAAGTCATATTTCAAGGTGAAAGTAGTGAAATGTAGGATCAGCCTATGTATTCATACATTTTTAAAAGTGCTTTCAGATACATTTTTACCTTTTTCTTGTTTGTTTAAACTTTAACCAAACAAATCTAGGTTGGAAGAAGTGGCAATATCCCAGCTGGAACAACAGTTGATACAGACATTACACACCCATATGAGTTTGATTTTTACCTCTGTAGCCATGCTGGAATACAGGTAAGCCTACACTTTGGGTAAAATATTTTAATACAAGAACTGTCATTCTTACATGTATTTTTTAAATCTCAGAAAAAGGATAAAGAAATACTCATTACATTCCAAATTGTTTCCACATGAAATTAGATGAAACTTTCAGTAAACAAATGTCTTCCCTTTCCTTACCTTGAAAGGGACTTAGGAACTTATTTTTATGAAAATATCAGAATATAAGTAGTTTAATAGAATGAATCTCCCTGAAACAGGCCCTTAATTTACCTAAAATGTTTAAAAAAAGTGAAAGTACCTGATTGTTCCTTTAGCATATGCGTCTTTTAAAAAAAAAAGAGAGAGAGAGAAAGGAGAGAAAGTACTATTTTGCTCAGGCTAGACTAGAACTCTTGGGCTCAAGCAGTCCTCCCACCTCAGCCTCCCAAGTAGTTGGGACAATAGACCTTCACACTCAGCTAATGATAACATTTTATAGAAAACTTTGACATGTACTAGTAGGTATTAAGCATGTGAGAGAGTGTAATTGAGCTGGGCATGGTGGCTCACACCTATAATCCCCACACTTTGGGAGGCTGAGATGGGCAGATGCTTGAGTTCAGGAGTTTGAGACCAGCCTGGGCAACATAGAGAAACCCTGTCTCTACAAAAAATACAAAAATCAGCCAGACATGGTAGCATGTGCCTGTAGTCTCAGCTACTCAGGAGGCTGTGGTGGGAGGATCACTTGAGCCAGGCAGAGGGAGGTTGCCGTGAGCCAAAATCGTGCCACTGCACTCCAGGCTAGGTGACAGAGCCAGACCTTGTCTCAAAAAATAAAATAAGAATTTAATTGTACAATTACAGCTTTCCTTTTTTT